AAGTTGGTAGAAGTCATCTATTTTGTCTTCTTTGGCTCTGCTTGTGGGGCATATATTCAATGATAGTGGTATTTACAGGTCTTCTAGACATAATCTAGATGCTGTATTTAAAATATTCTTGTGAATATATCATTTATCTGTCAGTTTCTTGTTCTAGGGTGACTTGCGGTTTTTTATAATATAAGTAGAGTCATTCATAGTGGATAGGTTTCAGTGGATCTTCCAGATGAAGACAGACTACGAAGCAGAATTGACCATTTACTTCTGAAATAACAGGACTTCTAAAACCTTACAGGAACTTTTTTAGGTATAGTAGTAGAAGTAGAGTTCCCACAGATTAAAAGACATTTTAAAATGAAGAGAAAGGGTTGCAAGCATTTATTAATAATTGGAACATGGAATATAAGAAGTATGAATCTAGGAGAATTGGAAATTGTAAAAAATGAAGTGGAACACATGAAATTCAACATCTTAGGAATTAGTGAGTTGAGGAATACTTATCAACAAGCTGTGTTGTGCAGATGTCATAACCTTCCTTGCATAGAGTCAAGAGAACTTTGAAGCCCTTGCTGTTGAAGATCGAAGATTACAGCTTTGAATATGGATTACATCTCAACATTAAGAAAACAAAAATCTCACCATTAGACCAATAGATAGATGGCAAAAAGATTGAAGCTGTCAATGAATTCATTTTACTTGGATCCACCCTGAAAACCCATGGTAACAGTATTCAAGAAATCAAAAGATGTGTGTCACAGGGAAAATCTGCAGTCAAGTACCTCTCCAAAGGGCTAAAAAGCAAAGATGTAAGTTTAAAGACTGTAGTGCTCCTGGTTCAAGTCATAGTCATTTAAAATACATCTAAAAGTTGGACAATGAATAGAGATGACAGAAGAAGAATTGATGTCTTTGAATATTGTTGTTGGAAAAGAATATCCCATGGAATTTCAGAAGTAAAAACAAGCCTGCCCTGGGGGAAGTGCAATCCAGGTGCTCCTTATAGGCAAAGATGATGAAACACAATTTGGGCATATTGTTAGTAGGGACTAGTCCTTGGAAAAAGACATCATAGTGGGAAATGTGGATGGTCAGAGAAAGAGAGGAAGATCCTTAACAAGCCGGATTGACACTGTGACTATAACAATGGGCTCAAGAATATCCAGAGGCTGTGAGGATTCCCTTGCATTGTAGTTGATGACCCCTAACAACATATTTAAAATGGAGGTGTCATTGCGTACACAGATTGAATAAGGTGAAAGATTCTTATACATATCTGTCTTTTTGTCTATTGCAGGCATGTTCCCTGGAACCTCCATGAGCCAATGAAAGGACGATTTTCTTTCACTAGAAATTTGGATTTAATGTATGTGATAATGCTTAAAATGCCTGTTTCTGTGAGTGGGCATCTGGGCTTTAATTTTGTGAAGATCTAACTTAATTCTTTTTTTTT